CTATGGATCAGGATCTATCTATCCAACCATCTCATCCTAATGGATCTCCACAAGCACCACTAGCAGCAAACCCTATATAGATTATGTTTCTTCCTATCCATATATACTTCTGATAAAGTTTCATTTATAAATTAGGCACAGTGAGAGATTAACAATAACTAATAACAAAGCGGAGCAACTAGCATACAATACAACAGAAGTTATTTGAAATCCTAGAGAAGGAAACAGAATAAGGGGTCACTACTTGCTTCATTTTGCTATACCAGGCAAGACATTTCACTGAGTGCAACTCTGTTTACTGTTCTCATTTATTTCTATATCTATGTGTTCGTTAAATCCCTCTCTCTCTGCTGGAATAAAACCACCGCGAGAACAAAGAATTTTACTGCCTTTAACAATTCCTCTCCTAGTATCAAGAACAATGTCAAGTACAAAGCAGGAACAGTACTGAAAAATATTTTTAAATGACTGAATTGAGGGTTAAATTGAGCCAACAGGTTTTAAGCTTATGTGTTTATTTGCTTCCTACATCCTTCATTGAAATCTAGCGTAGGGCCAGAGGGACGAACTGAGATCAGTCAGGGGCTGAGCTCTCCTGTCTAAATCAGCGGCGGAGGCTGGGAGGCTGGGGCTCATAGGAAGCCCGGCGACTGGTGGAATTGCCTGCAAAAACACTTTTAATGCCAGGACTCAAACTAGTTGCTCTGAAGAACTAGGGCACAGAGGAACCTGGAGGACGTGGGGCACTGAAGGGACCGAGTTGGACAGGTGCAGGGGTGCAGACGTGTGGTGTGCGTGCGGTGGCTTCAGGAAGAGATGCTGTCGGTGGTAAAAGAATGAAAAGTTAACTCCGGCTGAGTCTTGACGTGGTCATGGACGCTGTCACGTGGTCTACCCTTATGCCTTGAAAAGCACAAGATCACCCTTAGGGTCTTATCTGACTAGAGCAGGAGAGGGGGCTGGAGAGGGTAGTGCCTTAAAGCACGGGATGTGCACTCAGACAGACTCTAGACCCAAGCCAGTATCTGCAGCTTTTGGGAGCTGCTTAGCCTCTCTGAAACTCATTTTCCTCCCTCAGTAAAATGGGACAAAAATAATGCTCCCTCACAGGTATGGAGAGTCATGTGAGGTGCTTCATGTGAAGCACATATTATACCATCTGTTTCCTCCTTTAAAAAGCTAGGATCCCAACACACTTCACTGTGGATCGACAGACCTCAAGGTCCAGGCCAGCCTTGGGGTGAGGAGTCAGCAGCAAGAGGGAGCAGACTGGCTGCCTCTAGTCCTGCGTGCACTCAGTCTCCTTCCTGTCTCCCCTCTCCTTCCAACCTCTCGCCTCATTAAATGAGCCCCTTCTGGCTTTCATGCTGCGGTTGGGTCCCAAGGGCTCTCAAGAAGATGGCCCCGATCTCCTGGACTGCAGCAGCCCTGCCCTGTCATAGATGCCCTGACAAAGCAGATGTGCCTTGCTTCCGACCTTTGTCCTCCTTCCTGGCTATATTTAGCACAGCAAGGAAAGGGCAGTTGTTTTTTTTGCACAAGTGAGTGCATGAATGAATGCAACCTCGGAAATTAAAACTGATCCCAATTCTTGAATTCGTGGTCTGGCCTCAGCATGGGCACCCAGTACTGACTCACCCCTGTCTCTTCCTGCCCTCCTCTCCCTCCACACCAGCAACCCACTTCTGCACTCCCAGCCCTGGCATCCTCTCAGGCCCTCAGTCTTCTAGGTGGTTGGACCCTGCAGGGAAAACCAGAGGAAGGCAACTGCAGGCCCCACTAGTGCTAGTGTGTAAAGAAGTGCTCACCTGAAATTGCACAATTCATCCCGCAGGCTCAGCAGGAACGCAGCATTTGGAGAAATTACACCTCTGAGCTGCCAGGATGTATTCAAACAGCCAAGAACAGAAGTTGACTCAACTGGGATGCATCTACAGAGCAGCAAATGTGCACCGCGAGCTCGCCTGCAAAGTGTTCTCATTCCTTGGGGATGGCCAAGCATTTCTGCCAACCGGGGGGTTCTTTCTTCTCTGTAGTTCCAGGGTAATTCTCATGTTTCCAAAGGCAAGACTGTGTATCGGAGGCTGAGCCCCAGCAACCCTTTACACTGAACTCCTTTCCTGCAGAAAGTGTCTTCGTTCATCACCTTCATGGCTTGCTACGGCTTCAGCAAGCAGCTGAACTTTGTTTTTTGTTTATCACAAAGATAAACATGTTTATTTTTTCCAAGTTTATATTCTTCTTACATTTGAGGCTTTATGATATAGAATAAGATGATATACTTGAAGGTTTTAATGTGCAAAGCAGAAATTATGAAATAAGGGATAGGGAACTGTCTAAAATTCTGTGTAACTAGGAAGCTTAAGCATTCAGAAACCATTCATTGCTCCAGCCAAATGGACTGCCAGTTGTGTCCTAAACAAGTGTTTAGATTTATTGAGCATTTCACTGTGTCTGAGACACTTATTTTAGCACTCACAGGCACCAACCTTTTGATTTCTCAGGCCAAACCTGTGATGCTATTACCATTTCCACTTCATAGATGAAGAAACTGAACGAGAAGGTTAGGAAATTTGCCCAAGTTTATGAGGCTAGTAAGCACCAGAGAAAAGATTAAATATGCAAATTGCTATTCCTGTCCTTTATCCCCCAAACCAACTAGCAATTTTTGGAACATCCAAAGCTCTGACTCTCATTCGCCTTTCCAGGGCCTCATCCCTCCTCTGTGGTTCCTCCCTGGTACCCCTCTCCCCACTGGCTCCCATAGCCAAGGTCCCGGCACTGCTCACTCTGCAATACAGTTGACTCTCTTCTTCTTTGCTTCCCTCCCCTAGAGGTTATCATAACTGTATCTCAGCATCTTGTGCACCATAGATGCTCAGAGTATTTCTGCATTAAATGAGCAGGACTGAGCCCTCACATCCAGACGGAGGCCAGTACACCACAGGCTGCATGAGATCGCATATGCTGTTCCTCCCTCCTTGGATGCTTCTTTCCTCTGTTGGCCCTGGTCTTGCAAGTCTGTAGGGAGCATGCACCTGGTCACCTGCTATAGACAGCTTCTGCTTCCTGCCCTTGGTCAGTGCTCCTTCCTTACCTCATAGTCCTCACCCCATACGTCATACCATATGCTTATGTGCTAACTTGTGCCTTTTCAGACTCCTTCACTGGAACATAGACTTGCTGAGAGCAGGGACTAAGTCTCATTTGCAGTCCACTGCATTCTAGACCATGATAGTCACATGGACAGGGTCAGATGTCTAAGCTGAGCAGTCCCTGAGAAACATTCATGCAGAGAGGGCAGTGGTAGGAATGTGGATCGTCGCTGCCCATTCTGGAGCAACACTCAGGGCTACAGCAATCTAGAGGTCAGACCCCAGACAAGAAAGACTGTGCAGCCCTTTAGACGCTATGATAATGAGATATAATAAGGAATACATAGTCTGTCTCTGGCCCCAGTTCCCAAGACAGAGGCACTAACACGCTTCCGGACAGGGGTGAACCAAGGAGGTGATGGGAACTCTTAATTTATAGCTAGTAAATCAGAGATACGAGTAAGAATCTACTACTCGGTGTTGGTTTCTGAACTGGGGGCAATCTTGGAAGATTGAGACCTCAACCTGAGAGATCTATCTTCCGTAGGTAATGTCAGAATCAAGCTAAATCATAAAACACAAAACAGTTGGTGTCTGCTAGAGATCTCCTTGATGTATGGAGGAAAATCCAAGGATTTTGGAGCATTTCAGCTTTTAGATTTTCGGATTACGGTTGCTCAACTGGTTACATGTGTGCTAATGCTCTAAAATTCTAAGAACCCATAAATCTAAAATGCTTCTGGTACCAAGCATTTTAGATAAGGAATCCTAAACCTATAGTGGCAAGATAGCAACCCTCAGATGTGTTTTGTTTAACATGCCAAATCTTGGCCTCTAGTTACTTTTTTTTTCCAGAGAATTAATTGCCGCTGCTAGCCTGACAATGAGCATTCTGCTTTACCTCAGCTACTCCACTCCCCCTGCCTCTCACACCAGTTTACTTCACTCCACACACTGGCCTGGCCCCTGAGGCCCTTGAGGTTCAATCTCCAACTATATATATATATATATCTGTGCCTAGAAACTCAGTTGGTACAGGACTGGTCTCCAAACGCTGGCCGCTACAATGAAGAATTAGCTTCCTTCTGAATTCCAGGGTCCTGGCCATGGCCTAGGGCTTAGGGTACTGATCTGAGTGACCCCCAGTCCTAGGTCTTATTCCTCACACAACCCCAATATGCTGGCTTTTAAATTAACTGTTTCATATGTTATAATCTTATTTTCTCCAGGAGATTCTAGGGCCTTGAAAATGGGTCTTGTTTATCAACTTTTTGCATCTTGCATATCACCTGATTTAAGATTATACTTCTGCATCCTCAGGATCCTCTGGGGATTATGCTGAAAGGCAGATTCCTAGGACTCAGACAATGGAACGTGGCTGTTATAGTTTTATTATGGATTGTCCCCTCCAAAAACTCACGTTGAAATCTAATCTCTACTGTGAGGTATTAGAGACTGAAAGCTTCATCCACCTATGGTATTTAAAGGTAGAGCCCATTGGAGGTCATCAGGATTAGGGTGGGGTCTCCGTAATGGAATGTGAGTGCCTTCAAGAAAGGGAGAAAATGCAGGATGCCCTCACATGCTCCCTTTTTCTCTCACTTAATGATGCCTTGTGCAGCTCTCAGATTCTGCCACAAAGAAATCATCACTAAAAGCAGCCTTTTGACCATGGACCTATAAAATCATAACTTGGTTTTTTATTTTTATAACACACTCAGTCTCTGATACTATGTGTGTTATATTGGCAACAGGAAATCAACTAATACAGCTATGCTAAGCAGAGACCAGGAGCAGCATTTGGTGATTTTGTGCGCTTCTGCTGTGAAAGATAGGAAAACTGAACTCTGAGGAGCATGAAGCGCCAGGGCTGCAAAAGAGGCTCACAGAGACAGGTAGACTTACTGGTTTCCTCTGGAGGGCCACAGTCTGGGACTTTTGCAGATGCATTTTCTTCTGTCCACCCACTGTTTTAGGAAAAATGAAAGGAAATTCAATTATACCAACATTTATAAAACAGGAATATGCATTAAGCCAGATTCATAATTCTCTTGACATGGAGCCATAGACAGAAAAGCCCTTCGCCTGCCCTTCTCCCTCAAAACAGCCAGCTGCACTGTCTCTGATACACGCTCACACCCATCCCCTCTACTTGGGGCCCATGGACATGCTATTGTGACCACTGTCTTCACTCTGACTCAGCACCTCTTTGACAGCCCATGGTTTCACCCTGGCAGCAGCTGTCTTGGATGAGATCTACGTGGCGATGCCATCTGCTTGGCTGGTCCCAACACAGCCTATATCTTCCAGCCAAACTTCAGAAAGAAGACAAGCTTTATTCTGGGGTAGCATTAGAACACATGCACATGCTCAGATGGATGGATGCAGGGGTTGAGGAAGCCTCGATGTGGTACTTGAGACTGGGGTTCCACCTAAAAAATTGGGATCACTTTTAAGATCATGTTGAGATGTCAGTCCCACAGAAGGTATCTGAGGACTGGGAAGTAGATTAACTCACACCCCTCAAGAGACATGGCAACTGGACTGAGAAACTGCTGAGAGATGGAAGAAGGCGGACTATACTATACTTTAATAATTACTTCAGAGTATAGTATTTGTTATGGCTGCGTCTAGATGTCCCCAAAGCCTCATGCAGTCATAGGTGGGGCTTCGGGGGGGGGGGGGCGCTGGATCTAGGGTGTGTGTTGCTGGGATTAAGGGTGTGATGGTAGGGTTAATGGTGTATGATCACTCCATTAGTCCTCTGATTGGCTTGGCATAGTTCTGGGTGTGGATAATGGGAAGGCCACCCTGGGGGTGAGTGCTATCCGCCATAAGGGTGGGTAGCCTGGGCAAAATACAAGGGACAGAAAGAGGGCTGCTGGGGTCACTCGCTACTGCGCTGCTTGCTGCTGCTGTGGTCACTCGATACTGCACTGCTTGCTGCCTTCTGCCTGCCCTGAACTGTTTCTCCTCAGCAGTGGCACTCTGTTATGCCACCCTGCCTTGGAGGCAGCTCATTATGGATTAAGCCTCTATAAGCTGTGTGCCAAAAATAAACCTTTCCTCTTTTATATGTAGGTGTTGAATATTTTGTCTCAGCAACAAGAAAAGTAACAGTTGTAGTCAGGGTTTACAAGGGAAGAGGCTTAATACGGGACACATAATTTATAGGATTATTTTATAATATTCACCCAAAAAGTCAAATGCAGAGGAGTGCAAGAGATCTGTCCATGCACTAGATACTCAAATAATCCAGCCGAAAGGCTGGATCCCATGGCAATGTCCCACGCAAGTCCAGCCAGAGGCCTAGAGCCTAAGGCAATGTCTCACGCAAGTCAATATCAGGGATCTGCATTTGGAAGACCCAAAGGTCAGTGGGGGAAGCTAGAAAGTCTGCAACAGCAGAGTGAAGGACCTGTGCCACCAGGATGAGAGATCTGTACTGCTGCCAGGAAGCAACACTCAAGGTGAAGACCAGAGCTCCCCTGAGGGGAACAGCAGCCATCTTCCACCCCCTCCCCGGGGGCAGCGAAGACCTGAGCTCCTCTGACTATGAGAACAGCTGAGTTCATATCAGGAAAACCAGCCACAGCAAGCATCTCCAAGAAGATCAGCAACATGCAATTTTCTCATTGGCAACAGTTCTCAGATGGATCCTCCATGCCCACATCCACACGCAGTTCAGCGGGGCGTTCTAAGGGGCCATTAGTTAATCTACCAGAGTAACTAAGGCAGCACTCCTTCTACTCATGTCTAAACAAGAACACTAACTGTAAAGCAGTGTGTGGATGATACCAGCAGCAGCCTCATACATCTGTTTACCACGTCTCTCCATTGCATCAAGTGGCCTCCTTGAGGTGTTGACCTGAACCAGCTGGGTTTCAGTATGGTCCATGTTAACTGTCCACGGATGAAATGAACTCAGGACACATGTCTCAGGATGTATTCCTGATGCTAAGCAACACGTGACTATTTGGACACATGAATCTAAGTTATCGTAGCATTTTGGAGTTGGGAAAGTGCTCCGTCTGTCTAGCTTCTAATTGGGAATCTGAGGTTCAGGAAGGATATCTATCATCTATTTGGACCACCGTGCTTAGAACAATTTTCAGAATAAAAAGAAAAGCTCTATAGATGAATGTATATCAGTAACTTGGGGACTTTATTGCAGTACAAATTCTTACTCAGTAAGCCTGGGTATTATTGAGCTCTGGTAATGCCCAGGCTGCTGGTCAGAGGACTGCCTATGAGTACAAGGGCAGTGGCGATTCAGGTTGAACCCAGCAAACTTGGAGGTAACATTAAAGCTAATCCGTCTGGGTCAGGAGGTTAAGTCCTTGAGGAGAAGGGCCCATTCCTGGAACACTGAAATTAAACTACATTCATGACACTTTTTTCAAAAGTCTCCCCTGTAAGTGCATTTTAAATAATCCACCAAAATTTTTCAAAGGTTATCATTCTCCTGTAGGTGTTTTTCTGCAAAATCATGGACAATATTTCTTAATGACCACACTTCAGAAAAGTTCTCATAAGGAGGGTTCTGAGGGGCAGGTGAGAACCGGCGGGGGAATGTAAATAACTTTGTCCAAAATGGTTTCTTCTCATTCCCTGCCGTATGGTCTGGGTGCAGCACTGGTTCAGGCAAAATGCTGAGAGCTCTCTGCCATTTTCAGCCAGAAGCCAAATGAAAGGTCTTTTGGGAGAAACTTTCTTCACACCAGAAAACACAGAACTGGATGGCTCAGCTGACCTACTGGGGAATCACACTGTTCACACCTTAAACACTTGTTCTCAAGTTTTATATCTGATAAGTAGCCCCGTCCCCCTAAGACATAAACAAACAGCGCTCTGTGAGGCCCTGTGCCCTGTCCTTCCAGAGCTGAGTCTTTGCTGGGCACACACATGGAGAAACTCAGCTCCTGCTCATTTCCATTACCCCAGCTAAGTGGCAGTCTCCCTGACTCCCCCCACCCACTCAGCTCCATGAACAGAGGCCCACTGGGCACTGGGATCTGAGGAAATAATACACCCAGAGCAGGCTCTCTCAGCCTCAGCACTCACAGTATTTGGAGCTGATAATTCTTTGTTGATGATCCCCCATTTCTACCCACTACATGCCAACTGCAGCACCCTGCTGACAACTCAAGACAATTAATAGTGTCTCCAAAAAGGGACAAATGTCTATGGAGTTGGGGCAGAATTTTCCCCGAGTGAGAAGACTTAGTCTACACTTAAAGTGCAAGGATTCAAATTCTAGCTTTGGGGCTTGCTAGCTTTGAGAACTGGGTCACATTGCTTATGGTTCAAACATCAGTTCTTCACCCTCAAAAGCACAAGGTGACACAGTAATGACATTAACAGCACTGCTCTACTGTCTTGAAAGGGCAGTCACTGAGAGGGCTACCTGCAAACACGCAAGCAGAGCTCTCATAACAGGGTCCCGACAATAAAGGCAAAGAAACGTCTGTCGTGTCACGTGCTCATCATTGTCACCAAACCTGATGAAGACTTATCACCCAAATGGCAAACCTTGTGGGGCTAGCTTATAAATTTTAGAAATCTTAACATGCAAGCTCCTAAGTTCTCTGTCTCAATTCCCTAAGAGCGAGAGGAATGACTGGCTTAGGAAATTATTTGCCCTCAAGTTCAAAAAGATAGTGAGAAAGAAAGTAGAGAAGAGTATGAGCTGAATCCCTAAGGACTATGGATGAGAGGGTGTTTTCCTCCCTAAGGGTCTGAGGTGCTGCCTGTGTTCATCTTCCCTAGAAAGCTGAACCAAGACGCTTTCCCAGCACAAGCTGAGGCCAACCTCGCTCCTTCCAGTCTTCTGACTGCATTTGTCTGTCCCTGTCTCTTTCTGTGTCTTTCACTTTTACACACACACACACACACACACACACACACACACCTGTACCTGCAGGCTTAGGAGCAGCCCCTTTTGCTTTGCAAGTCTACCACTGGTCTAAGAAACCAAGACTTTTGTTTGCTGGTTTCAGCACCCCAAATGGGAAAAGGCACCCTAAATCATTTATTTGTTTCTCATAATTCTTTTTCATTTTGCCTCAAGAGTCAGTGGAGGAAAGCAGACGTGAGGCACTAACTTGTAGAACCATCTTGTGTGAAGGAGACATTCTTGGTGTCAACATCGATATTATCACCCCTTGCCCTAGAAGGAGGAACGTAGTTGGCCCTGCTGTGCTCCACGAGGAGCCTGGATTTCTCAGATCTCATGAGGAGAGGGGAGCAAGACAGGGTGAGTATGCAGTACCTTACCCTCTCCCTGGCTCAGCACAGGGACCCAGGGGGAGGGACAAGCGACAAACACCACCTGGGTAGTGTTTCCATCCAAGGAAGAGACAGAAGGCCTGGCGGGTCTCAAGGGAACCTGAGAAAATCAACACATTTCCTGGTGTGTTTTCTAGATGGGCAAAATAAAAAGAAAAAGCGGTTTAAGGAAGATAATGACCCTAGAAACCTATCAGCATGATAAACAAGAGATCGCCAAACTGCAATTGCAGGTGGGAGGTTAGGCAAATTCTTATACATAACAAACCACCAATTTAAATGACTCCTGGATGGTCTCAAAGGCATCCTTTGAAGCACCACCTTGAATCTATTTTGCAGCAGTTGCCATGCCAACAGGAAAACCATATTCCAAAGGGTAAATGGACACTCAATCCTCTAGCTGCCTGGCACCTGATACTTCAGACCTGCTGGTTTCTCACTGCTTCCTGGTCCTGCTTTTCCTCCTCTCCTCTCCCAACACCCTCAAAAGTTATCTGTGGGGTGAAGTCTTTCACATATCAAGTCCTTCTTCCTCCTCTGAACATTCTGCTCACACCCTGGCAGGCCTCGTGCTGACTCAGCCAGACCATGAGCCTCTCACGTAATCCAGTATCTGAAATACAGAAGGAAGCATGCAGACTTGAGTTGCTGAGGCCCCAAAACATACCTCAGATGCCAG